TTAAAGATATCATGAAGACTACTTAGGTTCACACAGGTGGAGCCCTAGAAACAGTGACTACCTAGAACACAAAAAATGCGGAATAAATGGTACCAGGCATTATCCTTAATTTTTGCTTGATCTGATGGCAGGGGGAGAGAGAAGTAAGGGGTAGGAATCACTGATATAACTTAGCATCCATCCAGCCTACTTCATAAGTGAAACAAACAAGTGTTTGTTTCGGAAAGGATTTGGGAAGGGACTGTGAATGTAGTTAAACACCATATTACAGGTTCTGCCACATGTTCTCCACACATGCTATTTTGCACAACAGCTCCATAAGCTTCTTCTAAAAGATTTGGGCCACAAAGAAATAAATGAAGTAACTTATTCAACGAGCCATAGTGAGTATAACAGAAAAGTGAGCTTAAAACATAAGTCAATTTATTTCCAAAGTCTTGGCCACTTAGTGATCAAAGAGCTAAATGGAAGGTATGAACATAAGTCGTATTGGAGACGTGCAAACCACTGATGTGTCCTTGATACTCACTAGAAAATGTCTGAATGTTAGGGAATGTCTTACAGATAATCACAATTTTACAAGCTTCCTGCAAAGCTTTCTTGGGCCTGTAATAAATCCACAATTTCTTTCAACTTCAGGAACTGTAGTTGCATTTTATACATATGGTACAAATCCAAACTGAGAAAAACGAACGGATTTACATTATCTGAAATGAGTGCTTCTCCAGAAATGAATGAGTTCTACAGTTCTCTATATACTAAAAGTAGTTCCTAAAGTGTTTTTATATGTTTTCCTATTCATTAAATAATTCCTAATTTTTAAGATAGCTAACCATTATATTTAAATTTGACTTACTTTCCCCACCTGAACTTAAAAAAAAAAAAGCCATTCTTGAATTCTGACTATATAACCTAAACAAAAGCTTTAAGGAAAAATTCTAGAAAAGGGGACAGAGAAGTTGGGGCATAGAATATGGAATTTGCATCAATTTGGACTTTTTTTTTCCAACCTCAGAATCCTTTTGTGGATTCTAGGAGAATTGGCTCAAGCATTCCATAGTATTTCTCTGGTAATGACCACTTTCAGCTTCAGATTAAACAAGACACAGAGTGATTAAGAATAAACTCAACAGCTAAAACTGCCCAGTGCCACTCTTCAGAATGTTCTTGTTGGCCTCAGTGACAATAAACTACACAGCTGGATTGCTTGCTTTCAAGTCTTGGTTCCACTACTTCCATGCCTGTGTCACTTTGAGCAAGTTGTTTTCACTTCTCTGTGCATCAGTTTCCACACGCAAAATGAGTATAATAATCACATTGGCAAAATACAAATACTGAGTCAAATAAGTTAATATAAGTAAATATAAGCTTTTATTCCAAAAATCCATCTATTTAGCATTTGCAATGTGCCACACACTACTTTAGACAGCAGTGAATTCTTATGTGTTTGATAAATAACATGAGCTCAATGAATGTCTGTAATGAAAAGTCCACAACCCCTCATCTGACCTTCACATTGATTAGGTTATTATTTTATAAAGATAATAAATGGCTGTTATATTATATATATTAGAGGCCCAGGGAAGTCAAATGTGGTACTTCATGATCAAACACATTAATATTTCTGTGGTGAAACAAAGATTTATACTTAGTGAGCTAAATTCAGACTACAATTAGCCTCACTAAGTTTAGGGCAGGATTTGTTGTCAAACTTGTTACATGAAAATCTTTTGAGTTTCAGAGCTATTTTGGATTTCAGAAAATTAATGGAATCAAATCAGTTAAGTAATGGGCCAATCCCACTGGAATCTTTTCCTTTCCAACTTCAAGAGGTGCTGGGGACCAAATAGTCAAAACCATTCAGCAGTAGAAAATAGGAAGCCCTTCAGGCATGGAAACTTCACAACTGCATCATTCATCTATGCCAAATATTAGTCAAAACAATCCCTCTTTTCCAATATAGTGTTTCATACATTCTCAGTCAACTCATTCATTTACACAAACAGCACGTCTCAAACAATCTATAAGGATTTTTTAAAGTAATTTCAGAATATGGGATAAAATATCTAGCTTTTAGTAGTGCAAGAGTGTCTTTCCCACAGAAAAAGACAAAAGCTATTAAATGACAAACAATTGGCTTCAAATCATGAGCCTTAAAAGAACACAGTATCCACTGTAGTCAGCCTACAAGAGATGAATAAATGTTATGCCAAAGTGGTAAACCATCCTGCTACCAAAGGAATTTTCTCCACATTGCATTTTAAGGAAACATTTGCAACTCTTGAAGAGCTATATAGTAACTGGTTCAAGATGTTCTCACTACTGGTCAGTACTGGATAAAGGATTTGGACAAACCTGCGGAAGCAGACTTCTCCTGCCTGTTTATAACCTCCAAGTGTTGTTATTTATCTTGGCCAACTTTCCTGACCTCTTTCCATTGATTTTTATATTCAAGTATTGCTTTGTTCAAGACCTATGTTTACTACCCCTGTGGCCATCCTCTATACAAAGGCAACTCAGGAAGACAAGAAATGAATGGAGATGCTTATGTTGCTTCATGGTTATTCCCCTTCTCATTACCATCCTACTCAATGAGACTGTAGTGGGAGGTTTGAATGACATTTCCAAGCCAAGAACTTAAAGCTGCATTACAACACCCAGCTACTCAGTTGTCATAGGAACAACACCGTGAGGCTTATGTTAGTCCTAACAAACAGCCACTTGTTTTGCTAGTGACTGAAACTCCCCTTCAAATCCAACATACACACATGTATATCCTTTACCATCAAAGATGCTTCTAAGTGGGCCACAGGCTAGATCTACCACATCAAGAATGTAAGAAACAAGCCTAAAGGAAAAGTGTTTACATTCCTAGGTCTGGAAAATCAAATAGTAGTTGAGAAAAAAAATATTCTGAGGTTTCTTGCTCCATGAAGCTCCTTCAGTTTGTTGCATTATATATCCACAAAGATGTATGCATGTGGTTAATATCTTCACAGTGTACACAAAAAATGTTAATATTCCCAATGACCCACAGGGAGGATGCAAGGCAATGTTATCTTACTCATTTTAGATGTACTTTCGAAAAATTAATAAATTGAGAACAGAGAACAGCAACTAGATTTTAAAACATGAAGCTCTCATATAATTCTTCTAGAGCATACTTTCCAGCATTTTCTACTCGAACCTACTCCTATTTCATTTTTGTCCTTCAAAACAAAGGCTTCTACATAGAAGAGGAAGGCCTAAAATTTTGTAGATGTTTTTTTCTTCCACAGTATTCAGCCAGATTTATGAAGTCACCATATTTCACCCAAGTATATGCATGAAGTACCGAGCCGAAAATAATTGTGAAACACCAAACATAAGCTAGCAGTGGAATATATAAACTGGAAATACCTTAGTGTTTTGTTACTATTCTTCTGTCTGCCAGACTCTAAAATCTATAAATTTATGGGCTTCAGGCAAATGGGTGTCACACCTTATTAAGTCGAATTTGTGATATTCACATCACAGACTTGCATCATCATTTTCCTCATTTAACAGCCAGACTTATCCTGCCTTTCTCATCTGTCTTTTTGAAAATAAATGCTTATACAAAAGTCTTGAAATATACTATTCTGAGAAAAGTCATCTTTCAATTTCTCCAACTAGGTAAGTGAGGGGAGAGGGGAAGATCAATTGATAGATCCCAATAGCTTCTCCCTCCCCTACACTATTCTCCCACTCTACAGGCAATAGGGAACGGCAGCATTGCTAGCCTGTTTTATTTTAAATATACATGTATTTTTTTCTTTTCGAGTTCTGGATTTTAAGAGCCTGAAAGCAACAGAACAGGAACTCAAACTCAGAAATGGAGACTCAACTGGCAATTTGGCTTACACTACTTAAAGAAATGAGTACTGTATCTTATATAATCTCAAACTGACAATTCTGCTACTAACAGTTTGAATGACAATCTCCACGTTTGCAGAGATCATCAAAATTGCCTTGTCTAATTAATGATGCCTAAAGAACAATTTTCCCCCATCTGTTTCTATAAGTAGACATCACATGATGACTTCTCTTGACCAATAACAAACTGGTGAAATCAGGAGCCACCCATCACTCTAACGTTCTTTTCTTATTCTGCTCAACATTTTCAGCATGCTCATCCCCAAGAAGCCAAACAGCACAGCCGGACATTCATGCCTAATGTAAAATCGTGTTACCTTACAGTCTATGCACAAGAGCCTATTACACAAACACAGGTAGTAAAAGCTTTATTGTATTTTTCGGGAAACCTTAAACCTGTGAGCAGCTCACATTCAAGATTAGAAAACTGAACTTAAAGTCTTACAAGACAGACAGACACATGCACACTGAACCACTAAGAACTGTCAGTCTCAAAATGGAATGGACCATACAGAAAGACCTACCCTTTGCCATGGCTAGGTAATCAAATAAGACAATTGTAAAACGCCGGACTACAATGCGATAAACATCTATTACCAAAAGGCCAAAATATGTCCTTTCAAGTCAGGAGACATTACCAATACTTCACGAGCTTTCGTTTTGTTAAGTTCTGACTAAAGCCTGACACCCCGGAGTAGAGGGAGGCAAAGCAAACCAAGTCGACTAATCCTGCAAGCCATCCCTTTGAATTCCCTACAGGCGATTCGGGCAAAAGGGAACTTGCCCGAATTAATGGAAAATTAATGTTGAGGCTATCCAACAACCCAGTTTGAATTCACGCCTCTCCCTCCCCAGAATGAAAAAGAAAAATCCCCAATCCAGTTACATGGCATCTCTTTGGCTAACCTGGCAAAAGCTCATGTTTTGCCAATTACCTGCTTCTTCTCAGCCTTTATGCTATATTCTCAAGCTGCTCTTGTTTCGAATGCCTCACTCCGTTCTCGTGTTCTCCACTCAACACAGTTGTCAGGGGTCTGTGAACAATTTTGCAATTCCCACACACACCATATGATATCTATTAGGGAGCAGTGCCACTTTTCACTTACCAATTCAGGATAAAGCAGTATTTCCTGGTGACAGTATGCTTCTGCTGCCGCTCGCTAAAACTCCCTCTTTCGCAGCTTGATAAATCTGATTATAAAACGTCTTTGTTCCAGATCACACAGGCGCTTTTCCTACAAAAGTTTTTTTTTTTTTTAAAGCGTTATCTGCATTTCATTCCCGTGACAAAACAAATCAGAAGGGGCGAGGGGTGAGGAGGTTTGGGCGGGGGGGTGGGGGGGGGCAGACAGGGAGTTAAGTCCACACAAGTTCCTGGCAAAGAATTGCTGCTGCATTTTTCTGAGTTTAATCAGTAAGCTATATTAAAGTGACAGTTACCAGTTCAGGAAACCAGAGTTGGATCAAGTCGGCCACAATCAGTTTGTCTTCCACTGCTGTGCAGAACCCAAGAAAACAGCCACTTGGTCATCTATCAAATGTGGCTGAATCACTGGACAGACACCCGCAGCGTGACCCCGCCCCCAACCCCACCTCACCCCACGGAGCAGCAGCCCAGGCAGAAGAGTGGCACAGCTATCTGACCCAGGACCTCTTATAGGGACCCGCCAATTAGCTGCTGACCAATCGCAGCCAGCACCTAGTACCTAAGTCACATGACAGGGCAGTCCCTATGACTGCAAGATTTCTGAATTACTGGGGTTACACAAAGGACACTCATTCAGGAAAAAAAAAGAGATTAAAAAAAAAAAAAGGCCATAAGCCGAAACAGAAACGCCCAGGCTGCTGTGACAACTCCGACTTTTTAAAGCAGTGAACAGAGACAGAACAAGTTGGCCACAACCAAGCCCGAATGGAAATCAGAAGACTGTCTGGCACATATTAAAAAATAATCCCCAAGCAAAGGCTGGGTTCACAAACCCTCTTCAGCTATAAATCTACCACCCGTTCTTCCCCTTTCTCTGTAGCCTCCCTGACAATTTTACAGTCGCAACTTCTTTATTTGAAAAAGCTCCAGCAAGCTTCTGTGAAGCCACTAAAGGAAAATGTGGGAGACAGAAAAACCTCTCTTCACATTCCCTTGAAATACCCCCTTCAAGATCAGAATTTGCCATGAAAAAGTCCCTAAACAAAAATACATTTCTTTTCTAAGTAGCTCGGGTACATTAAGCAAAATTCAACACTGTCAGGACATATTGGTATAACATCCAAATCTTTTCTCTTGCGATTGTTTTGTTCAAATCAAGAACATTTCTGTAAAGAAACCAAGTTCAGTTAGCGAACCATCTATCCATTTATTTGCATTGTAAAGCCCCCAATTTATCTCTTGAATACCTCTTATGTCCCAGGAAGAAATTCAACTGTAAACACCCCAACCTCCAAAAATGTTACTTACAAATGTTCCTTGTTTGGATGTCAGTTGCTTCTCCCCCTCCCCCTCCTGCTGCAGTCAGAATGTGGGCTCAGCCTCACCCTTCACACCCCAAGGCCCCATGTGGACTGTGCCTTGCGCTCCTTCTGCAAGGCAAGTCCGGAACACTGCGCTGCTTGCCATTCCCAATTTATGGAAGGAAGCGTATGTCAAACAAACCAGGTGATGACTCAGACTGCCTCCTCCAGCCACGTTTCCCCTAGCATGGGAGGGTAGCCGAAATGCAGCCCGTTTGGAGGTGACTCAGTTTTATTAGACTGGTAGTTGTCGTTGCACTGACAAGTTCACATTTTTCTTTTATAACTTGTACATTTAAGGGTCAGAACACATGGTCTAACTGGTTTCAAAGAACTGGATGGTATAAACAAGAGAGGTGCAAGGGATGGCCAGGCTCTAGTTCTAGGCTTTAACATTTCCAACTTCAGGATTGTACACTGGAAATCTTACCACTGAGGCAACTAAACATCGAAGTTCACACACAAACAGCAATAAGCAGGTTGTAATATGTTTAGGTTTGCTTGAGGTCTTTATTGTAAACGACTGGGGCTCTTTCAGTCCTGAGGGACTCCAGGGTAAATCTCTAAGCCTGGGGCCCGCGGGGCGAGTTCTTCAGGAAGTGGTCAGGCGCCTCAGAGCCATGTTGTAGCTTTCACTTTTGCCTTTATTGAGCTACTCACTCGTCACAAGAAAGACAACCATGTCACACACACACACACACACACACACACACACACACACACACACACCCATACAACCATTTAATCCCTATGTGCCCAAAAGCTTTAAGAGAAAACTTGAAAAATCCCCAAATGTCACCTGTAAAAATTCCAACTAAATAAACTGGCATAGCTTCCGTACCTTTCTCTTCAGTAAAAAGTTGACTACCAAGATGGGAGTGGCATAGCATGGCATGGTGTTCCCAGGTATTACACAGACAGGAAGAATGCAATAAGAAGTGCAATTCCCCACACACAAAAACTCTGGAAGGCTCCAGTTATCTCTTTTCAGCATACTTCCTTTAACCTTGAGCAAAGTCAGCAACTGCTCTGACCGAGCTTTGACATTTGTCGTTGATTACACTTGATGGATAACTAACTTTCTTATAGGACGCACACTCTATTTTCAGCAATGTAGAAAAAACGTTCAACCCTTTACATTTCAAATTCTTGCATGAGGCCAGAGAAAAGGAATACAACATTGAAACAGCACAAAAAAACTAAGGCAGGCATTGGCTATTCGCCTTACAAGATTCCCCGTGCAGTTTTACTACAATAAACCCCAGCTTTTAATTTACATTGCGCTGAATAGATTTTCAGAAGTTAAATTCACACAAGACTATTTAGAAGCTCATTTGCAAATTATACTTTCCTCATCTATTTTAACTATGTGCAGCGCACTTACTTCTCACTCAGTTATTAAAACCTATTCATATTTCAACAACGATGGAGTAATCTAGTCACTTTTTTTGAGTCAAGTTTTATTGGCTTAAAGACAGTTACCATCCTATGATATACAGAGAACATAAAATCTATAATTATATGCCTTTCAATGAAAATAAACACAGGCTATGAAAACTGAATGCTAGTAAAATCAAACACTTAAAACTCTGGCATCCAAAAGGACCTCCATCTTTTAAGTCTGGCTTCTGGATCCAGACTTGCTGAGGTCTGAGCTCCTAGCCATGTCATCTGGATTTAAAAAATGACCATATGCAAGTGCTGAGAACAGATAAATCCACAGTCATGCACATCTTGGTCCTACACATTGCCCCACGAGTAACATTTTAAAAAAGAATGACTGGTAACTCAGTATTTACATAATAGTTGCCAATTATTTGCATTAAAAACACCTAGTCAACCTGTGTTTTTGTTCAAAGGTCTCAGCAGTTGAAAGTCTCATGCAGTGGGATATCCACACTCCAATCTGTGTGCATCTTTGAACCAAGCTTTCCCCAAATGGACTCAACCAGCTTTCCCCCAAAACTCATTTGTAAACACAACTACCCTCCCTTTTTTGCTGGGTTCCTACCGTCCTTTCTCCCCACAGGGCCATTAGTTTGAACCCTAACACAGTTATACTAAGGACTAACACCAGGAGTTGGGTAGGGAAACCTCACGGTGCAGTCTCTTCTATGCTGTCTTTCATTAAGACATTTCATTTCTTAAAGGAACAAACTGCATGGATTCCCATCTGAAAACTATATGAAGCAGTTCAAACATCCCATAAACCCTTCAGTAACAAAAGCTAATAGTTTCCAGCCAGCATATAACATATTTGAAGACTGATAAAAAGGACAGCAACCAGCCATCTCTGGAGGTGCAGGCAAGCTTTATAAATATGGAACTCCTCAAATATGGTGCTCTGTACTGCCCTGGGGCTGGGAGTTTGGGGGAGAGAAGTTGTTCCGTGTTTTCTTTGAGGGTGAGCGACTGCTCCAGCTCGTCTCTCTCCAGGCAATGTTTCAAAGACAGATGGTAACATACAGGAGGGAAAGTCAGCGAAACAGAGAGAGCACGGCTGGAAAGATGAAGGAGCGCTGAAAGAAGGTTTGATTCTGTTCCCTTCCATGTGGGAGTGTGGTTGAAGAAGACACACAGAAATCTGATTCCAACAGTTCAGTTCAAGGGTGCTTTGGTGCTCCACCAGGGGGCTTCCCGTCTGCTGCCCCTCCTGTGCCCAGGCAATTTCTAAAATACTAAATGATTCAACTATATCTGGATCCCAGAAACCAACACTACTCGTCAGCAGGGAGACAGCCTGATTTCGGCTACTGCCTCTGGGTCTATTGCCTGTGAGGACTTAGAAGAGTCACTTGGTTGATTTTCTCAAGGCTTTTGCTTCAACTGGAGAGTTAGAAGAAACAAGAGACTACCAGGAAAGACACAAAGCATTGCCTCAGTGATGCTTGCTGCCACCACTGGTTCACAAAGGGTATGTTATTGCCCCCAGTTGCTATCTGCTAATTCCTACGGGGATCTGAGGAACCATACTCGTGTGCCTCTAAGCCAAGCCACATCACTTGTTTGCTGACAAAATACCTGCTTAAAAAAAAATCTCATTCAGGAATTTGAAAAGCAGAGTTACAGTGGGGGATAGGAGAAGAGAGAGACTTTCCATCTATTGGTTCATTCCCCCAAAGACCAGATTTGGGCCAGGAGCCAAGAACTTTCTAGGGGTGTCCCAGATGGGTGGCAGTGACCCAAGCATCTGGGCTTCCTCTCATACCTTCCTAGGCACTTGAACAAGACACTGGATTGTAAGTAGAGCCGCTAAGACTCAGTGCTCTAATATGGGATTGCTAGTATTGCTCCTGGTGGCTTAACCTCTGGTGCCACAATACCTGCCCCCAAGGTGCATTTATCATCAATGTTTTCCTAGAATCAAAAATCTTTGGACAGATAATACAGTCACTTTGAAATTATAGCCAAGCAACATACTTCAAAAACAAAAGAGTGGTTTTGTACATAATGTATGTGAATTTCCTAATAGAAATTGTGCATAGGTGTACATACGCCTCTTACAGACATGCATTAACTATGTCTACGCTTACATAAGGCAATCAGCACATTCCTTTATGAGGGTTGGCCTCTCTTCCTAGCTTTTCATGTTATATAAGTAGTCACTGTGCCTGTCTCCTGCAATGATTTCAGATCCGAGCCATAAATTTTGTTCAGAAAAGTTTTTATTAGTTGTCTCCTTTCCCCACCCATTTTTAAAGAACGACTGACTCAGGTTTTTCATGGCAACACCACTGGGTGAGAGTGAATATGGGAGTGGGCAGAAGAGGAGAAAGGGAGGAGGAGGAGGAGGAGGTGGTGGGAGCCAAGAGCTGAATCACAGCCATGTGAGTAATCCTAGGCCTTTTTTTTTTTCCTAAGGGTATGAATCAAATTAAGCTTGTTTTGCCGTGGGTGAAGGAAGAAGAATATAATAGCGTGAATCAGAGCAATTATCAAATATGCGGCACTCAACTAAAAAATTAATTACAATCACTGCTTTCTCATACAAGTCTGCCAGAAGATGCCAGAAAGCTTTTGTTAATCAATAGAGTCCTTTACACAAATTCTTTGAGCTTGAACTTGAT